GCCATCGGGGGGTGAGTTGTGGGATGCCTCGATGCGTCGCCGACGTTTTTGTGGGAGTACGGTTCTCAGCTTGTCACCTCATGGTCAAGCCCTCAACCCATGCTTTTCATTCGAATCAGAGTCCCAAGGCGCCCCCGAGAGGAGGCCAGAGAGGCTTCGAACCTGCTTCCAAGAGGGCCTGCACAGGTATCCCAAAGGGCCCGTGCAGGTATCCCAGAAATCTCTTCCTCCCGTTGCTCCTCTTGGTCTTCCTCCTTCTCCCATTGCACATATTCTTTCTTCGCTCCTTCCTTCCGTGCCCCGCCTCCCGCCCAATTGCGTGAAAGGCGGCCCACGCCTGACTATGACGTCGGATTCCTCAAGTTTTAGCTATTTCAACTTGGCCCCCCCATTCACCCATTCTGCTGGCGCGAGCGTGTACAATATGTATATGGCAGGAAATGGGGCCCAGGTGGCCCCAGGCTGGAACCGCTACCACAAATGTGACGCCCGCGGGCCAGACCTGCACCTCAGATCCATGAGCCGTTTCGGGGAGCGACCAATTAGCCGTTGAAGCAGTTCGCGACGCGCCCCACAGAAGCTTCCCAGTCGCCCCCAAATCAGCCTTGCCATGTCTCCCCGTATTTCCGTACGTTATCCGCAATTTTCGTTGCTCCACTTGCGGGCCACCGCCGTTGCGGTTCGCCTCCCGCTGTCGCGTTTCGGCGTCCCCTCGGACGGCCCCTGACGGGCCCCTCCTTCCTTTTTCCTTCGTGGGAGCCCCGCCCGTGCGCCACTTGCATTGGGTGCCGCCTATTCCTGAGTCGTGATGCCATGCACTGGCTTCGGGATGGCGTTCGTTTTTTCTCAGTGCCTCTGCCCCTGCACCGTGCCCCGCGGCGTGGTGTCCAGCCGCTCAGTGGCCTTGCCGCTGGCCCGCCCGCCGCTCTCCGCCCTGGGGCCGCCTTTGCAACTGCTGCAGCGCCGGCGCACTATGCCCCTGGCCGTCGCCGGTTCCCACGCCGCTGCTTCCCCCCGCCCGGCGCCCAGGCTCCGGCCGCCTGTTGTTCCCGCTCTCCCAGTTGTCGGGCCCCGCACGATTGCGGCTGCTGGTCCTTCCCTTCGGTGCTCCGCGACGCCGCCCCGCGGCAGCTGCCAGGGTCCATTCTTCAGCCTGGCCCCCCCCGCGCGCTCGGCGCAGCCCCGCTGCGTGAGAGAGCCTCCGCTCCTGGTTCCCCCCTTCGCGGCTGCCCTTTCGCCTTTTTCCTTTCCTCTTGCACGGGGGTTAATTCGCGACGCCGTGTCCCGTTCTCGCACGCACGCGCGTGCGAATTGCCTTTGCTGCGTTACGACGTAAAATGCTTCCGTACGTGTCTCCAGACTTCCGCTGCCATGGGGCACTGGCGCGTTGGCGACATTGTTTGGTTCATCCGTTGCGGCGGATTCGGAGCAAACTCTTGCAAGGAGGGGCGGGAGGGAGGTATGATATGTTACTTGGAGGAGGAGGAGGAAGAGGAGGGGGAGGAGGAGGAGGAGGAGGAGGAGGAGGAGGAGGAGGAGGAGGAGGAGGAGGAGGAGGAGGAGGAGGAGGAGGAGGAAGAGGAGAAGAGGAGGAGAGGGAAGGAAGTGGAGGAGGAGGAGGAACAGGAGGAGGAGGAGGAGGCGGAGGAAGGAGGCGGAGGAGGAGAGGAGGAGGAGGCGGAGGCGGAGGCGGAGCGGAGGCGGAGGCGGAGGCGGAGGCGGAGGCGGAGGAGGAGGAGGGAGGAGGAGGAGGAGGAGGAGGAGGAGGAGAGGAGGAGGAGGAGGAGGAGGCGGAGGAGGAGGAGGAGGAGACGAGGAGGAGGAGGAGGAGAGGATGATGAATGATGATGATGATGATGATGATGATGATGATGATGATGATGATGATGATGATGATGATGATGATGATGATGATTGATGATGGATGATGATGATGATGATGATGATGATGATGATGACTGATGATGATGATGATGATGAGATGATGATGATGATGAGATGATGATGATGATGATGATGATGATGTGATGCTGATGCTGATGCTGATGCTGATGATGAAGATGATGATGCTGATGTGAAGCTGATGAAGCTGATGATGATGATGATGTATGATGATGATGATGATGATGATGTGATGATGATGAGATGGTGTGTGGTGGTGGTGGTGGTGGTGGTGTGTGGGGGTGGTGGTGTGGGGTGGTGGTGAGTGATGATGATGATGATGATGATGATGATGATGATGATGATGATGATGATGTGATGATGATGATGATGAGAAGGGAGGAGGGGAGGGAGGAGGAGGAGGAGGAGGAGGAGGAGGAGAGGAGGAGAGGAGGAGGAGGGGAGGAGGAGGAGGAGGACGGAGGAGGAGGAGGAGGAGGAGGAGGAGGAGGAGGAGGAGGAGGAGGAGGAGGAGGAGGAGGAGGAGGAGGAGCACCCGCTGCTAGAGAACGTCCGCTGGTCGTCTCGCTTCATAACGCCCAGTTACCCAGCGGCGCCCGCTTGCATCGGCCATGTTCTCCCCGTGCCCTTGCTCGTACTGTCTCTTGGGGCTTGGACGAGGAGTCATTTGCTGCACAAGGGCGCGGGTACAGGAGGTGCGAGGCCGCGGACGATTTTCACGAATAAAATACAGCAGTCGCATGCACCAAAAGGACCTTCGTATCAACGACCTCATCCCCAGACCCCCGACGCCGTGGGCTTAGACGTCCGCGTCCATGGTGGAGCGGATCGAAGCATGCCGCCCTGGAGGCAGGCGCGGGGATCGTGGAGCGAAAGGAAGTGGCAGACGATATGTACATGTGTGTATATATATATAGGGGGGTAATATAGCGAGCTGGACGGGGGAGAAGAATCATTAAATGACGCGGTAAAGCAACATGTAGAAGGTTTTTTTTTCAAACATCTTGCGCAGGAGGCATCTTGACATAACTTAATGCGTTGTTATAGCGTTTGGTAGCGCCCTGGCATGCGTTAGATCTTAAGCTCGCTCGAAACGCGCGTGGTTCGTGTGTGTGTACACGTATATGTTAAGTTGATGCATGGTTGATTAAGTATGTATATCCATGAGGCGCTGGCGCAAGGTTCTCTCGTGCTCCTGGGTTCGGAACCCTTTTGCTGCGTAGCGCAGTGACGCGTTTCCCCGTTCACCCCGTCTCCCGTACGTTGACAAACTTGCGTTTTGCAGACGATGTTGTTGTGCAGTGCCGGGTCTGAAACGCATGCTTGCGGACGTGACTTCAACATGTGCGAGTTTCGGTTTGTCTTTACATCTTGGGAAAACGAAGTTGGGAAAACGAAGATACTGACGAACGTGCGGGCTAGGAAAAGGTGAGGCTGTTGACAGTCACGTCATGGTCAACGGGATGCACATTGAGCTGTTGAAACGCGACTCGGCCACCAAGTATTTGGGCAGGAAAACATGTTTCCAATATTCGCAGAACTTGGAACTGGACAGCAGAATGCACTGCGCATGGAAGAAATCCTTTCTTTTCGTGGATGAACTTATGAATGCGAATTTTCCCCTTCGTTCGAGGCTTCGGCTGTTCGACTCTTCGGTCATCCCGTGCGCACTATACGGCGCAGCCTGCTGGACGCCGACGGCCGACATGGAGAGGAGGTCGTTGAAGAACAATCGCAAACTCTACGCCTAGTTGTGGGTTCTGGGAAGAGGAGGAAAATACACGACCTTGATGATTCGTCGCCCCGCATTTCTGATTGAGAGGGCATTGAGGGATGTTTCAAGACATGGGTTGAGTGGGTTCAACGTACAGCCCGTGATATCGAACAACGTCTGGATATGTTGGGATCGCCGACTTGATTCCGCATTGCAGAGCCCGAAAGTGGAAACTGGCAGGGAAACTTTTGTCAAGTACGCGAGTGGTCTTGCAAGGTGCTCTTTTGGAGCCCGAGCTGGGCTCAGAGCAAGAGAGACCGCATCGGGTGCCCTGCAAAGAGGTGGGCCGTCGTCTTCGTAGACACGTGCGGCCAGAACTGGACAAGCGCGTCGAGGCCCGGAATCCCACCCTGGCGGCCGCCCGGCAACGGCGGGCCGCCGTGCTCTTCGCGAGAAGATGATGGGCGCGACATATTTGAAGGACCGCACACGGTCGGGCCCCCCTCGCCTGGGAGGTCCCGCGCTCGGGACTCCGCCTTCTGCGTGGCCCCGTGCGGCGGCCTCTCGGCGGCCCGCCGTGCTTCGGGGATGCGCGTTCCGTGGTGCGCGACTGGCGCGCGATGTGCCAGGCGCGGGCAGGTGCCCAGGCGACACCGCCTCGGGCGCCCGCCATGCCACGCGCGCGCAACACACGCAAATGCACCATGCCAGCCTCTGGCGTCTCTCGGCGTGTTTCCAACGGACATGGGCCAGGCCACTCTGTGCCCAAGTCGCCGCCCCCGCCCACCAGTCGCTGACGCGCAGTCCCCGGACCACGAATACATCAATGCTTTCGAGATTCAGATGGCGATCTGGACCACCACTCGTGCGACGCCACACGCAACTTGCCAGCCAACCGCGGGTAGCTGCCGACGGCGACCGCGCCTCTCGCCCTCCAGAGGCCGTCGGGGCCCAGGACCGACCTCGCCGAGGACCGTGCGCACAGGTGGCGTCGCCCTGTGCTAAAGGGCAGAATGCGCGGTCATCAATCAGACTGCCAATCCCATTTGCTTCTGGCAGGGACGTGTGGTGGCCCTGAATGGGCGTTGCCATGGCGCAATCCTCGCCATCGGCGTTGCTGTGCATCTGTTGCGCTCCAGCCTGCGCGCGGCCCCAGATTTGCCCCCCTCTCCTTGCAGGCCTGCAACGGGGAGATGTGAGGACGCATGGACATTGGGGGAACGCTGTGCCTCTTTGTCGTCCCCTTCTTCCTCCTCCTCATCCTCCTCCTCTTCCTCCTCTTCCTCCACCTCCTCATTCTCCTCCCTCCACCTCATCATTCTTCTCCTTCCCCTCGTCCCCCTCCAGACGGGGGACGGGGCGCCGCCTCGCCCTCGCGCCCCAG